AAGTGACAGCAGAAGAGTATAGGATAAAAGGAAGAATGCAGGCATCAATGAATCGCCAGATTAAGGTTAAAGGTGTTTGGAAGGAACATAAACTACATACGAAGTAAAGGAGTTTTCGATCTTTAATAAATAGGGACTCAATATGGAGGGAAAATGAAAGCTTTAAGGTCAAAGTAACGCCGAGGTACCTGAAAGAGAGAATACTTCGTTAGGAAGAATGTCAGAGGAATCAGAATTAGGAGAGGGCCGCAGTCGAAGAATACACTGAACGGATTTTTGGCTGTTAATTAGGAGACCATTTTCCTCCGACCACGCTAGGACATGGTTTAGGCCATCCTTTAGAGACCGGAGGTGTGTCTGACTTTTGGGAGGGTGTCCAACACCCACATCATCAGCACACTTGACCAGAAGACAGTCATAAAGGGACCTTATATCGTCCGTGTGGTGGGAGAAAAGGTGAGGGGATAGAACGGAACCTTGAAGAACACCGCGGTCATTGGGAAGGGTCGAAAATTTCCGCTTGCCAGATTGGACATATTTGGTGCGGAAGGTAAAATAATCTCTGAGCCAAGAAACGACCTAGCCTGGAGAGCCGCATGCGGAGGTTTTAGTAAGCAGAAGAGGGCGCGGTACGGTACTGAAGGCGGTGGAGTAATCAAGAAAAGCGCACGCATACTCGCGGCAACCCTTGTCTAATGCTTTTAGAGAAGAGTGGACCACAAGAGCGACAGCATTTAAAGTACTCCGTTTGGCTTTATATGCAAATTGTAAAGCGTCCAAAAAACTGGAGGAAAAAGGCTTTATGATACCTAGGGCAACTCTTTCAACAAGCTTTATTATTGCAGAGGAGCAGGCGATTGGACGAAATGCTTTAGGACCAAAGTTAGCGGGCTTTTTAGGGATGGGAGTGATTCTCCATGTGCGCCAGGCGTCGGGAATCTTGGACTCAATGAAATACATATTGATTAGGTGCGTTAAAGTGGGGGCTATCTGAGAACTGCAAAATTTAAGAAAGAAAGGCGAGACACCATCCGGTCCGGCAGCGGTTGATGCACGAACATTTTTAAGGTGTTTCCCTACTGTTGCCAAAGACACGGGTTGGAATGTACTCGGTAATAGCGGAATGTCATCTAAGGAAAGATGGAAGTCATTGTGACTAAATATAAAATGTTTATTTAGGAAGACTTAATCAGCATCCACATGCACCAGCGTATTGCGATGGCCAGTGAGACGCTTAAGATTTTTCCAAATCTCGGCTGAGGAAGGGGGAAAGGGGTGGAGGAAGAAGGGGAAAAAATTGGCTGACAAACAGACTTTTTAGTCTGTCAATCTCTGTTTTTATTAAGACGGTAACGTCCTTAAGGCTGTCACGTAAGCCTAGCTTGTAAAGGTGTTCTTTATTACGTCTTAACGATTTCACATTGGGGGAAGAAATTCTATCTGGTCGTACCATATCAGTATCAAAAGGGCAGCAAATGTCCAAAATTTCATTTAAAGACGCTGTCAGGTTGGAAGAACAGGATTCAACATTCGATTGTTCAAGGAAAGTGGGGCTAGTAAGCGAAATGCTAGGCTGAAGTAGAAGATTGTTTTGGGCGGACGCGTTGCGAACCTTAACCTTTCTCTCAGGCTTGGCAAGCAGTGCACGTTTTGAAGTGGAATAGATTTTTGGAAGACACAATTAAGTAAAATGGTCAGAACCTGACGATGGATCCCTATTGTTAACGCAAAAATGCTTGCTGTGGTTAGTCAGAATATGATCAAGAGGGGCATCAGCGCGAGTATTAAAGGAGACAAGATCACCGAAGCCTAAATGTGTAAGGGGACGTAAATTCACGCGATTAAAATCACCGCATAAGTGATAATATAGCAAGTTTTGTTAGAGAAAGTCAAAAAACGGGTTAGTGCGCCTTCACAGGTAAAGGGGGGAATGTAAATACTAACAAATATGATGCCTTTAAAATTACTTAACAAACGGGGCAATAATAATACTTAACAAACGGGAGAGTAATAAGCTGCTAATCAATGTCACTATTTAGAAATGTCTCTTGAAGGCAGACAACTTCAGTTCTGCTGTGTTCTTTTTTCGGCAAAAGTAGCTCCAAATCATGAGCTTTTTTGAAAACAGAACGACAGTTTGTCGACAAGAAGGCAGGAATTGACAATTTGTGATTTGGCTGACGTTTGAAAGGGATTTGCCAGCCAAACCGGTGTTTTCTCCACTGCATAGATCGTTGTTGACGAATATTTGATAAATTCAGCACAGAACGATCGCAAAAACGACATATTGGTAGTAAGGCACAGCAGTTTGCATCATGGTTATTCATAAGTGGAATAGACAATTTAATTCCATTTAAAGAGTGCTAGCGTACTGTAGAGATGACCTCATAGTCTTAGCTCAGACAAACAAAGGGTGCAAAACAGTTCAATATATAAAAGAGAAATAGGCACAGTAATGTACAATTAGTAAAAATTCACACGGGAATAGAGAGCTACAAAAATGGCGGCTCAAATTCAAAAACCCGCTTCTTATGTCTGCCTCTGGCACGTGCTGTTAAATATCGTCGGTTCTGTTCTGTAAATGCATCTCCTATTTGGAATAAACTACCAATGAGTATGAAAACTCTGCAAAATTATCCTTTATGAAAGAGAACTATTACTCGATTTTTGGATTCAGGAAAGCTTCCTCAAATGTTGGGTTCTGAATCCACTGATCGACTCTACCGTAGTGATGCCGTTTGTTGTCTCTGAACACTATGGCCGGTCTCACCAGCTGTTCCTCAACGCCTCTACTTTGACTATCCCCAACTTCATGAAAGGAATTTACACCCGATTATCTCCGATAGCGTGCAGCCCCCTCCCGCCTTTCTTGACGGTCGAAAATCTACCGCCAGCAGTTTTTATTCTCCTGAACCCTCCAAACCATAAAAACCACCATCAACTGTTTTTTAATTTTCCGTAGTTTTTTAACTGCTGGTTTAATCGCTTCCCTTGACAGTGCCTGCAAACTTGCATTTAATAAATTAAATTAAATTAAATTCAATCATTCATCGTAACAAACTACTTGTCTAATGACTATGAAGAAAGTGTAAAATAGATTAAGTATACCTGTCCTAAGATTTATGTAAAACCTTTTTCTTACATGGTATGGTCGTAAACGCTCGATTTTTAAATGAAAATTTACGCTTTTATTTATTTATTTTATTTACTCAAGACGTTTACATTCCTATGGGTGAACATGCGAGATATCCCCGGCGAACATTCTTACCAGAGATGAAAATATAGCGTCAAACGTCGCTTTAAAACGCCACAATTGATGAACGCAAGCAGATTAAACTGACTATCAATGACATTAGGCTTTATATGTCTATAAATGTTTCCTGACCTAGATTTGTTTGAGCCACGCCTAAATACAGAAGCCGAGTGCTTCCACCTACCCGTGACTTTTGCTTTCGACGTACCTTGGTGTCGGTTTCAATTAAGTAAGACTTCTGGCAGGTTATATCACTGAATTTCGGAGAGAGGTTAGCAATGTAAACAATGTACAAATTTAGGTATAGTTTTAATTCATAAAATGCGAAGTGTCCAATGCAACATGTAGTCAAGAGGCACAGTCCAGCAAAGCTTGGTTACCATTAAAAGACACCCTGTGGTAAGGCGATATAAGTGGTCGTCGCCATTTGAAATCTTCTTTCTCCTTTGAATTCGCAGTGCGTCACACACCACAGGGTTAAATTACAGTTTTAATATTTTTGTTGCAGTATTACCGCGTCTGATTTTTCCAGTTCACGAAATGTCTTTAGTTTACCGCGCATGCTTGCTAACATTTACTTTTGCTCCTTCAGACAGCTGAAATCAAACCAAATTGTCAAGAACGCAATTTCCCTTAGACTGACTTCTGTACTATTTATTTAACAGTGTCAGTGCTTATAACACTTAGGCTAATTCGTTTATCTGTACATTTTCGATAATGTATTGCGCCGTTTGATGTTTCCGTCACCGAATTTTGCATCAAATACAGCCTTGGGATGTGCAGCAATTCCCTCAAATATACTGACTTAAGCTAACTAGCATCCAAAATGAGCTCACATCGCAATGCACGACCTTTACCAGTAGCCTATTCAAACGTTACACAGTAAATAATTTAAGTCATCTATAAACGCGCGTTTGGCCTGTGAGCAGTAAGGAGGGGACTGGCGCTGTCATTGGTAGTTCGTCGGAGGTGAATCTTGCAGAATGGCCTTCGACGCTTACGCCGGAGGAAGACTCATCATATTATTATCATTTCTAATATGGACCTGTTTAGGAGCCGAAAGTAAGTTGTTCTGTCAGCAATCATTTGCGTTAGTACTTAAGTGAGATTGGAATATTATTTCAGTTTATTTATCCGCATCGACCTTGATATTTAACAGATCCTCAACTCGAGTCAAGGTTTCTAGTTTGATTAACGACATTTATGAATATAAACTATCATGATAGTTGTTATTTTAAAAAAAGTATCGTATTTTTCAAACATTGTATTTGCAATGAACAATCCTAAAATATAGTTACTGCCATCCAAAATATAGTTTTAATGTACATTCCGCAATTTTTTACGCATAAGCCAGAATTGGAATAGATTTATTAGGCATTGTATGAATACATATACGTATACGTATTACGTATATGATGCGTAATAAAGCCATACCTGTGTATATAAGGAGATTAAGTTCATACACCTTATTCATAACATTGCCTTACCCATTAAATAACAACGAAATCTATTATTAACATATTCTTCAGTCGCTCTTATTTTTTTAGCTGTAGGCGGATTCCAAGCCGTTAGCAATGCTTCAACATCGATAATGGTGCGATGGCGTTCGACGTATAAGGCTGACTCAACGAGACATTTTCGTGTGTTTTTAAATGAAAAAATTGATTCCACATGCAACTATGCCTTGGATACTAAAATGTACGCTTGCACAATAAATGACCTAGTGCCAAACACAGTGTACAATGTTATGGTGAAAATTTGTCCATCGGCTGAAGAGAATCCGCAAAACTGCGAACAGGCTTCGAAGTCAAGGGAGGTTTTTACACATCCGCAAGGTAACGAACTAAACTATAAATGTATAAAACTAGCGTATTGTAAAAGTCATTACAAACATAGTTTGTTAGCGTGCACGCCCCGGGATGTATGACACCACATGAATGTCTGTGTAATTATGTTTATACTCATGTCTATATACATGCAAAAGGGAAAAAATAAAGTCAACTTACCACTTTAGCATTTTTCGCGAAACAATAATTTCGCTTTTAAAAGCGTAACTTTGCCTGACGAGTAAACACATGTTGACTTCTGAATTCTAAACTTCATTGATCTGGTTTAATTTCGATTACAATTTTAGCTGCAGAAACATTTACAGCTGAAGCAACTGACGGCGACCACATTAAATTTAATTGGAGGTTGCCGCCACAAACACTAAGAAACTTGCAAGTCTACGCGTCAGCAAGTACACAAGGCCAAACTCGAATTTCAGATGTTCCGGCTCAGGAGGGTGCTAGCATGAAAATTGTTGACGGTCTGCAACCTCTAACAGAATATAATGCGACCATGTATGTACGTAATACTTACTGGAACATCGGAACCAGTTCAAAGCAAGTAATACGTGTCCTGACAGCTCCAGATCGTAAGTAAATTCTTATGCATTTTACCTTTCTGCATGCCCGAAATTACTGCCATGAGCTTTCCGCGTTTTGGTCTACGCAAAACATGACCGAAAAAATAGGTTTACACACACATATATTAGGATATCATTGTATGGTTTCCGCATATGCAACAGCTTATATAGGATAGATATAAAGAAAGACAATCAAAATATTTTTGATTTGTTTCTGTGCCAGAAATTTGCTAATGTAAATAAACGGCCCTGATGTATGGAGGGAAAAAGTTATTTCTTAGCCTCGTTGCTTTTCAACTCCAAGCTTCTGAATCAGGTTATTATTTTTGACAGCACCAACAGTAAAAATAATTGAAGTAGGCCAAACGCAGATGACAGTTTCAATAGTACCTGCGGCCGGTAGTGAAAACTTCCAGCTGACGTACGTGGTCAAGGCAGCCAGTGAACATGCTCCGGAGAAGGAATGTACCACCAGCGACCAAACAGACCAACGCCAATGCATTCTTTCGGAGTTGGAGATTGCAACAGAGTATTCCGTGACAGCTAAAGCCTGCAATGGCGAACAATGTAGCCTTGAGTCTCAACCGATTATTCAAGAATTGGAAAGTACAGGTGGGTAAATGAAAAAAAGAGCTTATTTAACCAAACTCTTTATTGGTTTTATGGCCCGTGAGGTCTTGACAAAATAAGATTTCAAAAATATATGCACTAGATGTAAACAAACATTTGCGGTCAAAAATGCCTTTTACCTGGAAAAATATAATAGGCAAAGAAATCGCTGGCACACACACTTCCACATGACAACACAGTTTCAGTTTCCATCATGATAATACGGTAGAAGAAAGTGACATTTCATGGTTTAACGTCCATCATGAAAAGCAAATTAGGACATAAACATAACACGACAGAATATAAAGCAGCGAAGAGGGGCTTTAGGACATTGAGCCTATCAACTAAACGAAATAGTTACCAATTTTAATTTTAACACTTTGTAAAACTGATGTGCCAAACGGCAAAAGCGAAAGCAAGACGACATAAGCAATGCCTATATATTAAAAACAACAAATGTTTCTCCTAAAACAAACTGAAATACATATAGATATATATAAATACATCCGAGATAGTAGGATAATACGAGCTGCAATGTCAAAAATTAATTAAATATGCGCCTGGATAAAAGCATAAGTTAATCTGTTTTAAACGTTCGCATATTGACCTCCGATTAACTAGACACATGAGGAAGAAACGCCGGACTGACTTTGCTAACGGCAGAAAAAAAATGTGCAGATTAACGAAAAGTAAAAAAATTGAGTATATTATTGTACTAATGTGAATCATTTAAAAAGTCTACATGCGCTATGGAAGTCAGCACGATAAGAAAAATAGATGAGGGATAGTTGTCCAAATGAAGTTCGAAAAAGGGATAAATGTTTTAAGGAATACTTTAAGAATATTAACAAATAACAGCGTAGAAAACGAGAAATAAAAAAACATCATATCCTTAGGGCATATAAAAAGCAAAACGATTCCTGCATCACAGAGCGATATGTACAATTAAGATAAGGGAACATACACTGTTTAAACAATTGGTAGCATTAGACAATTGGTAATATTATTCAGATATGAAAGAGAACAAAGTAATTATTCGTAATCAGGCCGAAACAAATGCAATTTTTTCCCTACGTGACAGCTTCTCCTTCGACAAACGAAACAAAAAACGAGGACTTAATAACCGCAGCACCATGTGGTAAAAGAAAAATGTTATTATTCTCGCATATCTGAATACTGCAATTCTGCGTGGAAGACTGCCTATGTAGTGCGTAGCAGTTGGGCGTTCTTTGCTCGTCTGGTTTGAGTCCTCAGAAAAGATCATATAGTGGATAATGCGCGTATAGATTAAGAAGAGCATTTGCGGCTCAAATTGTTTAGGTAAATGTTGTGTTATCCAGACTAATGCTCTGTATGACGTATCGTCCAATGTATGTGCATTGAATGGCTATTAGCATTTATGCTGAGACTAATGCTAATATTTGCTTTTTTTCCGTATATTTCTGCACCACTTTAGCATCTGATTTTTGTGTTAGCTGTTCATATATCGAATTTGCTTATGCGTATATTAAAACATTTTTCGTGATATTTTTGTGCGCATATTTTAGTACTGAGTTTTTTGCATTTTGCTTTTTGACTGGGCTTTCTTATCTCAATTTTTTATTAATCGCGCTCTAAATATTTTCCAGTGCTTTCTGCTCCATGTCCTCCCCCCCGTCGTGCCTCGCAGTATTAATTATTTGACGTTCTTTTTCGAGTTTTATATTTACTATGATAAGTGTTTTTAGATGCTGCCAACTGGCGTGATGGCGCAGTCCTTTTGAGACAGGAGTCAGAGAGAAACCATTTTTTTAATGTAGCCTCGATATGTAGCCCGATCGGGTGTGATCCGAGCCCAACTTTCTTGTTTTGTGAAAATATATTCAAACGTTCTTCTGCTGGAAATGCGTGTGACAGGTATAAACTGCACGGCCACTGCACGCTATTCTCTAATCGTTCTTCTTGATCTTGACTTGGCATCGTTTCCAGGTTGAGGGCAAAGGTGCCTGTACTGTTAATACGGCGTCAAAATTATAAACAATTAAACACGCATTTCACCGTCTCATCGTCCATCAGGCTGTACGAAGTATATCGGACAAAACTAATTGCCCAGCATAAACATTGGTCTGTGTGTTTTCCTTGGTGAGTGACACCTGCGTCCTTCCCACCGTCGCCTTGTTCGGTTATGTCTCAACAGCTGGCATGGATGGGAAATAGGAGGAGAGAGTGCGGCGGATGCTTTGCAAGTCTACCACAACTATGTACCACCCCACGCACAAGCCAATCTGCCTGCCCCCTGCTCGATGTTGAGTTCATAGTGGTCATGGCAAAGCACGTTGATTTAAATGTCGTGTGTTTGCTTGTGTGTTAACTGAAAAAGATCAATGAGGTGGCACTCCCAGAGCACGAATAACCGTGTATTCAGTAACTTATGAAATGGCATGAAGATTTCCGAAAGAATTGCTTATTGCAAAAGATAATGCCGGCCGACCAAATGTATGTTTTTTTTTAAAACTCCCACCCCAGAGAATTGCCCAGATACTTTAGCTGCATTGTGACGGGTGTAAAATTGCTGAGAAGTAATTTTTGGCTGTCGTTTAAGGCTTGCGTCTGCAGGGATAACACACCATCCACGCATTTCACTCAAAATTCTAGGTGCTCACAAGACGCCCGCATTGTGCAACGTTGGAAATGTGCTTAAACGCCGTACAGCTGAATAGTAGTTATCATATCAACGTTGCTCTTGTGTACGCGGTTGTAAAATGCGAGTTCTTTTAAGATATGTTCTAAGAATCACCGTGTAATATAACCTCGTCGTAGAGAAGGTGCTGCCACGAACGTGGATTACTGAATTAACAATCGAACCCGTTATGCTGACTTTGAAAGCGCGGATCATCTGCGGATGCAGGTAAGAAAGACGATATCTCGATTGGAAAGCAGCTTTTACAAGGATGATTGCTGCGGCAGATTCTCCGTCAGCGTAATTCTCGGATATGTGTAAAAGTGACCATTTAAGAACAGTATAATCCCCTTTTACAGGGCAGTGGGGCTAAGTAGTGCACAGAGAGAGCATTAAGGAGATGAGCATTTCATGTGACATTCACCTGCTTACTAGAGAAGCTCCTTCTATTTCTGTTGTCATCAGTTACGGTAGCGATTTGATTATAAAGGTCTTAGCTAAAGAAATGATCTCCTTTTTTTAACATACATATTGATCGTAAATGATCGATAAATTTTCTTCTACGAAATGAAACGCTCGGAATAGGTAATCTCAGTAATTTTTGTGAAGACTACACGTGTAGCTGACGTGACAAACTGTGTTGAACGCGTCGTCTAATCGAGGTTGTGTGGGTTTAAAGAGGAGTATACAAGCCAAAGCCTTTTCTGTTGCATTTATAGTATACAGCTAAAGAGTCAAAACAGAATGCTTTAGAATTCGCGTTCCGATTATACATGATTGTCATGATGTTTCGGCGAACATGGAGCATTGATTGTTACTGTGAAAAGGTGTCCACGTCAATTTAATTGTCTGTCGTGTTCCCACAGCTTCGACCTCGAAAGACGAAACGACGACGCCGTCAGAAACTACCCCAGTGCCTACTCCATGTAAGCTATAAATTATCACGGTTTCTCGCATTTTCCATTAGCTCAGCATTACGCTTGCAGCATTCTGCAGCCGTAGAACCCAGCAGGTTCAGTGATTAGGCTGAAAGTAATATATCATCGGTGTTTTTATTAGACATTTGTAGATCAGTTTACTTGCAATTGTTGGAAATTTTACGCACGTTTATTATGGAAGTGTTTCGCTCAAATCAAAACTTCTTCCTACGTCTGATAATTGATGCACATGGTTGTCTACATTCATAAAACGTTACTCCAATATCCACAGGCACGTCTACGCCAGTAGTAAAACCTACGGGAGAAGTCACTCCATCCCCAACTGAAAGTATGTTTTTAATGTTACAACTTTTAAAATGCTTTAACTCTTCAACCTATTGAAGGGCTTTGAATGACAACTTCTGCATGTTGCCTGACTATGTCTGACGCATTTAAATCGTGTTCCATCAGTGTTATCAATTTGGGCATTCTCGTGCATGTTTTTCTAATTGATCCTTTGCCGCTTCTTGTGATCTACACTTGACTGTATGATGTTCCGTAACGTTTATGAATCAAAACAGCAGCTGATTGGAAATGGGAGAATTAAAATGGCGTTTCTTAGGCAAATACGACATGTAGCATATTAAATATCCACGGAGGTTCTTGAATGGTTTGTTTTTTTGGAAGTATAACTGCGGCTGTTCACACGTATCGTTAATGTTAAAAGTGACGACTCCTTATATAGCACTTCACAGCCATGGTAGCTAGGTACGCACGCCTTGACTGTACTAGACAGCGAGTAAATTGCTTTAATGCACGACTGTTTTGAATGTTTGCGGCCATTTAATATTCGTAGATCGTATAATACCGCAATGTTTTTCTCCCAACACAAGTGTCTTTCCCGTGAATTTTATTCATCACTATTAATTTATGATAATGGTGCGCTTTAACGAAATCTTTCGCACTGACCTCCTCTTCCAACCTTGTGAAGGGTGGTGAGACAGAAGCAGGATAATTGGTGACCGGCGCAGACTAAGTCAACATAATCGTGGCACATACGGCCAGGTCTCCACAGACCTGTGTCTTGATTACACAACTGAAGACCGCTCTCCGATCCTACCTGAGTGGTTATGTCATAGAGGCCAAAGCGGAAGAATCTATGCGGTCTGACTCTCAGTACTGAAACCGATCACCGGCACACACTTTCACACTTCTGACCACGAGTACTGACTTAATTGTTTAGTTGGCAGGCTTTAAAGCTGATAATTTGAGCGCATCTGCACGGTTTGTATGTGAGCTAGTTTCTTATAGTTGGAAGTGCACCGAATTTCCGCGGAATGCCTTCTCGGACATGTGGACCTACGTTCTGCCCTCTCTCAAGTGCGGCAGGTCTCTGTCCACACCGGTTATGCATGTAGTCCTTGTGTTTGTCGTATGTGAGTGGTGCGGCGTGAAGCCGTTAGACTCATATTGCGGGTACTTAGCTTGTTTTCGTTAACGTATGTTTCGCTCTAGTTTAGTCGACTTTGTTTAGGAGTTCTAGCGGGGGTTTCTGTGTTGCAAAGGCGTCTGCATTGAAGTCGCTTAATCATTGTAATGAAATATAAAAGGGTGGCTTGCAAATAATACATCTTTGATGGAGCGGCGCTCAATGATCGACTGTCGGTAAAAGATCTTTCCTATTTCCATTGGAGAATGACACATATTTGCTGACAAGTGCTATGCGCCCTATGTTCTCAATTCTTTCATTATTGTCGCTGAATAATTATGTCCTGTCTATTATCCTGCCATGATTTGAACATTGATTACTGCTGTGTTTGTTTGCCCACACCAATCAAATTTTTGTCATAATTCTATAGCTTCATCCTCGACAGTCGAGTCTTCGGCATCGGAAGCAACCACATCCTCTAGTACTTGTAAGCTTATAATTACCACCTCTTCTAAATTTTCTCACAGTTTCTGCAATTTATCTCACACATTACTATTCCTTCAGCATTCTGACGGTGCGAGACCTAACAGTTTTAAAGATTCGGCTGAAAATGAAAGATCATTTGAGTTCCATTTATGTATCACCAGTCTAAATACGATTACAGAGGATGTCAGTATCCGTTGTGAACAAGGAAAAATATGTCTTGTCCACGCTCCCCCGGTCATCTTGACACTGCCTTAACACTGTACACAATCGGGCGGGGAAAAGTGAGTGCGATATATGTAGTGCAATACGAATTCACTATTTGCCATTACACGTAAGCCACCATCTCTGCTCACTGCTGCAGAGCGCAGAGTAGGCATTGTCTCGATCATAGCATTCGAACTGACATGCTCATGTATGCTAGTATGTGGCTCTACTATGTCAAGACACCTTCGCCGTAGTCGCTAAATTAGATTATTTTGATTTTAACATGAACTTGCATGTAACAGATCCCCCCTGTTTCGAAAAGACACGTTACTTCATATGTTTACGCTCCTGCGCACTCCGCACATGTGCGCTGCCAAGATTTTATAAAAAGGCAACCAAGATATCGCCGGTTTGAAATGCTTTAATCACGGTTTGGCTGCCTTTTCTGCGTTACGTATTCTAGACTTTCTCATCAGGTTTTCCTGAGATTTCAACTTCAACCGTCAATCTCGTCCTTAATTTTCTGGTGGAACATTTACTCATAATTATCATCAGCTTTTAATGAGCTTTTTCTACACTAGTTCTCAAATACATAATTAGCGGCCGACTGTGGAAAATATTTTTTCGAAATTTCTGGGTACTTTGTTGTAATTTTACCGGCCTTGTGGGTAAAATGAATCCGCAAAATGTCCAATGAAAACCGTTGTCCTTGTAAGCACGATATGAACTATATTTCGCTCCGTTTTCTGTGTGCGTTTTCGAACTATCAAATTTTTACTCCTGGTTGAAGTGCCTTCGGCGTAACAAATATTTGCTTTGTGATGGTTAAATATGACAAACTATAAAATATGGTAAACAAAACTCATAACGCCTGTAAAACAACTTTATTTGGTTACGAACTTTGGCAGTAAACCTGGCATCAAATTTATTGAATTTTTTGAAATTTTGCAGGTTGGAAATTCGCACATGCTGGCGTCATTGTCAACTTACTATTAGCGCGAACTTTGATAACGCCTTATTGATGCGCTTTGGCGGCTTGAGTATTAGCGAAAAACTTAAAGTAAGCCATTGCTTTCCAGTTTGCCTACATAGCATGCATGGAGAGGCACCTTTCTGTGGCCGATGTGTTTTCCTTGTCTCGGCTGCTCAAATATTTTCGGTTTTAACCACTCACTGAATCATGTGTGCGAAAATAATTTTGCCGTCTTCCTTTTGCTCGCGAAATTTCAACTTTTCTTGGCAATTACCTGAATAATTTTAATCATTTTAAGTTGTAAAATCTCGCACTCAGTTTTGACAAAAACTGAGTAAGCAAGTGTCGGAGAAGCAGCACTTACAGTGAGTGATCGATCTCAAGAAATGTTGGCCGACATTCTAAAATGGGTTTTCGATTAGAAGGGATTACTTAAGCGCGGTTGCGAAAGTCATTTTCTTGCGGCATTGATATATAATTTTTCAAACTTGGCAGGACTTTCGCCTTTGAATTCACTGCTTTAAAACCTTCCGTAGAAACCGTATCTGGTAATGACTACTTAAATTGCATGCATTTTTCACATCGATTTTTTGTGGTCTTTAAGATCCAAAAATACTTTATAGAAATCACGAACAAAAATATGCTTTCTTTCGGTCATTTGATGAAGTGTCATGTGGTCTTTATATGTTGTGCTTGGGAAAGGGCTAGAATTACGTTTTGAAAATGTTTCTAATTATGAGACTTTCAAGACCGTGTAATATCTATTCGTACGGCCTCGTACCTGTCGGTTTACCACTTCTCCTCTTGAAATGGACACCATGGTCCGCATCCACTGCAAAATATTATGGACCCTACATAGTTTCTTCTTGAAGGACTAGAAAAATGTGTGCTTTTCTTTACGGGGAACACATGCACCCTGTAGACTGAAATCACGAAGCACTAATGCAACGGCTGATCAGACTCCAATTTTTTCGGGAATTCTTAACCTTTTAAGGATATACTTATACTCCTATTTCGGGTATGAAATATGAAGACTGCGCGATTCGGGTTACTGCAAAATATATTTGAATTTTTATGACCATCGAAAATCAGGAGATTAAAACCTCGAGCGTTCAAAAGCTTACGTCCTACCGAGTCCGAGACTTAAAAAGGGTTTTTACGTTTTTATCTGAATCCCAAGTATGCTACAACTGTCTCCTGCATTTAATTACCAAACTGACTTCATGTGCCTATAAATTCTGTTAACACACGACATTGTGTATTCATCTGTACAGTTTTTTGTGACTCCACTTGTAGTTCTTTCATGTTTCTTTCTTTCCATTTTCTCCATATACTTCCTCTGTACGTAACCAATAGGGATAGTAGAGGTATATACCTTCTTTTCCTGAAATGCTCTGATACAGATACTGAGTATTAGAACTATGTCCCATGGTAATGAATGTTTCAACCCCACCTAACTATGATTTCCTAATCGAAGTCACATTTCAGAATTTTAGCCAACATTTCATGAGATCAGTCACTCAGGTCACTCAGATTACAGGTTCTCATTATGATTTGATGCGCAAGATTTCTGCCACAATATTGAGTTTAAATATAACGTTCCGTCACCCGAGTATTCGCTATGACACTACCCCATCATTAATTTAGAAACCCACTAAAGTTAATTTTAACCATCTGTTTACAGCCATCACTTGTCACTTCAAACACAGGCGAAGATAAATTAGTTTAAAAAGCCACCTGGTCTTCCATTCTGCTGTCTTCATTGGCAGTATTAAAGGATATAGGCCAGAATCCCATCTCCCATTTATAATGTTCGATTTTTCTCAAGTTTGTTTACCTGCACGTGCACTTGCACCATAGTATGCTGAATGTGTGGGCTAAATATGGGCAATTTTCATCATATTTGGCGGAAAATGAATTAAAGCGAAGACAAATATGACTTTGACGGTGAAAGCACACAGAGCTTATGCCCTCTTGCAACTCCTTTATACGCGTCAACATCAGTTTCTCACCAATACGTCTTATACTTTTTACTTGTAGATGTCCACTGCAATGCCGTCAATACTTTCCTACTGCGTTTTTTTGACCAATGAACCACGTTTTTCTACCTTTTGGACAAGAATATTAATTTGACCATTAACTTGTGCTCCTAAACGTGCAAACATATCAGCTGCGTATAAAAATAAATAAAGGTTTCTATAATTGCCCTGGTAAACACTTAGTCTTTGGGTATTTCATTTGGACTATACTGTAAGAGAAGAACACGGATCACAAATTAGATCACGTATTAATTGGTTAGAGGAACTGTACTAGCGGTTTCAGAAGTGTCCTCATCCGTTCAGACATTTATCAGCAAAATAGCTGTCACGTTACCCAATCGTCATGAACTATCATCAGTTGTGCAGGCTAAGACATGCGAAATATGAAGGGGGTAAGCACGTTCATAGATGAGCCAATGGTGAGTAAAGATAACATAAACTTCAGTCAGAACTTCTAGTCAACGAATGAATCCTCGACTTTCAAAGGCTACATAGTAACTGTGTCAAGATACTAGATGGCGATCATACGCTTGTTTTAGATAAATCCACTCTAGTATAGTATATTTGTGTGGTGACTGGGTCAAGTATGACAGATCACGGACTATCGGAATCGATGAAAGTCTGCCTTAAGATAAATGCGAAATGTGCGAATATTGGAGAGGGGATGGTAAAAGTCAGTTCGAAGGACGGGGTAAACTTGGAGCCTGAGCAAGATCCTTCGCACGCATACCACCGTGTTGCATTACCTGATAGCGGGTACTCTTGCGGTTGCTGAAATAATTTAGCACAACAGATTTGAGTAGTTCTATGGGACCTTATAATTTACACAGGAGGCTTCGTACGAGTCCACATGATGGCTGGAAACAGCGTGGGCGAGAATGGCGTTGTGCATAATCGTAATTGCGCCTTTGTCCTGCCGTGACAGAAGGTGCACTCGGACTCGTCTGGATATTCACCGATCCATTTGAACAATAATAGCTTATGCGTGGGAGTAAGTGAAGGAACAAATACACATCGAGGGGATCTGCGATGGCAACTTATCATTTCATTCTCTGTGTATAAGAGGGTTTGTAGAGGGTAATATTTGTACCCTCGCAGTTGGGAACTATTAGGAGACAGCTTGATCACAACGCATTCTCAGGAGTTTGATGGCGGTGTCGACGTGAAAAGGGGTTCTGGGGAGCAGAGCTTCATCTTTGGTAGCTAGTACAGCGGTTTTTTGTCTTTTGGTATTATCTTTTGCAATAAACATGAGAAGATACCCGTTTCCCCGACGTATGGCGCAGTGCCCAGAAAGATCCAGCATAATTGGCTTGCCTATTTCATTATGAAAAATAAGGATCAACATAACTGGCCAAACAACAAGTCAGACTATAATGTTTGTGAGTCATTGTGTGATTTTTTAAAAGATTAACAGTATTCGTAGTTTACATTATTACCGTTTGTTTTCCTTTATTCACTTTATATGCGGCGTAAGTCTGCTTTTGTTTTTTTTGGTTAAGGGAGTCGCAAAAACTGCGGTGGACGTAGAACCAAAACGAGTTGCGAAATCAGCAGAATATACAGTGTCATTCGCACACATATTGTTGATTCCGGACAGCATATAGACCCCAACAAATGTCATGTGGTTTTATAGGTCCCATAGTGCTACCCTAAGCCATTTGACCAGCATATGTTCGCAAGATCTAAGATGGCCGCCATCGACTTAAGAAAACTAAAACACCTAGTTCAGTTTCCGCTCAAACAGTGGGCAACGGTCGACAAACTACTTGCTCCACCGCCATATTTTCACATACGTCCCAGTGGTTAAGGCGAACTTTAAAAGATGTCAAATGACTAAGGTGTCATTAGTAACCCCGTTCCTATATACTGTGAGTGACCTATCCCATAAATTGTTGGCTGAAATTCTGAAATGCGTTTTCGAGTAGGAAGGATTACTTGGTCGCGTGTGTAATACTGCTTATCCTGCGGCATGATCTTACAAAATTTCGGACTTGACAGGATGTCGGCTTTTAAATGCAATTCTTGTCAATCTGCTGTAGAAAGCGTAGTCGGTAAAAAATGACTATTTAATTAGCATGCATTTTTCCCATTGATTTTCGATGGTCTTGCAAATTTAAATATATTTTATAGAAACCATAAACAAAGATATGCCTTCTTTTCGTCAATCAATAGAGAATCACGTCTTCTTTATATTTTATACTTAAGGAAGGAGTATAATTAAGTTTTAAAAAGTTTTTAATTATGAGACTTTTTAAGACCGCGATATGTCCAATCACATAGCATTGTACCTGGCCGTTTACCACTGCTCCTCATGAAATTACAACATAATCCGCATCCATTGTAAAATCTTATTGACCCTGTATGATATCTCTTTAATGACATAGAAAAATATCGGATTTTCTTTACGCGGAACGCATGCACCTTGTAGATTATAATCACTAAGCGCTAATGCAACGAATGATCAGGCTCCAAATTATTCGGAAATTAGAAGACTTTTTTAAAACCTAATTATACTTCTTCCTTAAGTATAGAATATAAAGAAGACGTAATTCTCTCTTGATTGACTAAAATAAAGCATATTTTTGTTTGTTGTTTCTATGAAATATATTTGAATTCCTAAGACCATCGAAAATCAATGGGAAAATGCATGCTAATTAAGTAGTCATTTTTTACCGAGCTCGCTTTCTACAGGAGATTAAATAGAAGTGCATTTAAAAGCTGACATCCTGCCGGGTCCAAAATGTTAGAAGAGTATGCCTTAAGATAATCAGTATTGTAACCGCGACTAGGTAATCCTTCCTAATAGAAAACGCATTTCAGAATTTTAGCCAACCTTTCATGAGATACGTCACTTACTGTAAATATACAGATCGAGCAGGGAGTTATCGAAATTAAGCGTATTTTTGCCAATTAGTCCTGTAAAGACCGTCATGGCTATTTTGTATTTGCAAAAATGTTTTGAAATGACGTTTATCAATACCCAGTGTTGCATATGGATAGAAAAACT